TGCCCGGGGACGGGGCACCCCCGGGAGCCCGGCTGGGGTGACCCTGTGGTTCCCCGGGATGTTCTTCCTCAGAGAGCTCCGCTTCGGGTTCTTCTCGGAAGCACAAGCTCACACCGCTTTCTGAAAGAAAAAAAAAAACAAACCCATCTTTCGGCCGTGTCTCTTTCCCAGACTGTAAAGTTGCAATGCTTAAGCTTTATTTTATTAAGAAAGCTCTGAAACTTTACCCAACCAATAAACTCGGAAGTAAACTTAAACCAAATGCTCAAACGTTAATATAGAGAAATTTTCGACACATCCTAAATGGTTGCTATGTTTCCAGAGAATCCCAGGGTGGGTCCAGGGAAAGACTCCTCAAAGCCTTGCTTTTTGTGTGTGTGTGTGTGTGTGTGTTAAACAAAGAGTCAAAAGTCACCGTTTGAACCTTGCTATTAAAAAACCAGCATCTTTTCAAAATGTTTTTTTCCTGGCCACAGTTTTGTTTCAGATTGTTATGTTTTCTTACAGGTAATGTTTTCTTTTTTGGTTTCCAGTTTTGTTGGTGTTTTGTACTTGTGGTTACATTAATCACTTTGACTCTTTCATGAGAATTCATGGAAACGTTGGATATACTTCATAGTTAGCCGGGGTGAAGCACGTTAGCAGGAATTACTCTGCGCTGACTCAAAGCTCAAATGGATGGCATGCGATGGTGGTTACTTATCTTCACCGTGCAGGCTTTGATCCTGAGGTCTCTATACTTAGAATTGAATTGAACACGTTCACTGTTTCCCAGTTTTGAAAATCGTAAAGCCATCTTTCCAAAGGGGAAAACCTATTCTAGGAGCACGGGGAAGGCTGCCCTCGACCAGGCCGAAGGTCTGATGGACGCAGCGTCCTGGTGGCAGCACGGGCCACCAGTGCACAGCGAGGGAAGAGTGCGGGGAGAGTTCTTCTGCTTTTCTGACTCCTCTACCAAGCATTAGAAATCTGCGGCTCTTCTAGCTGCTCTGAATGTGTGGTTGTCAAATACTCCTTTCCTGTTAATATTTGAGAAGCGTTTTCTTGGATATTTCCTTAGGAGTCTCTCATATTTAAATAGCTGCCTTTGGCATCAGTCATGTTTTTCTGGTGTTCACAAAGGTGTTGAAGCTGCCTTATTTCCCTAATTTGCTTTGTCAAAACATGGTATAACTTCCCGACAGGCAGGCCATCAGCAGGACAGGAGGAAAGGGGAAGCCTGACGTTTCTCTGTCTTATTCTTGTGCCGTTTTCTTTCCTTTTCCTAGGATGGAGACTGTATGGTTGCCTCCTGCTCTTGCTGGCTGCTTCCTTAGAGGCACCGAGTTGCGAGCATTAGTTTCATTCTTAGCCTGCTAGGTCTGTAATTTTGTAGACTTTTAAGGCTGGTGGCATAGCATAGGAGACAAAAATATAGGCAATATAGTTAGTTGTGGGCACTAATTATAGTGGATGCTCTACAGCAAGAAGTATGTTTTGGAATAAGAACTCCTTCAACCTGTACACAGGGAGTGGCAGGGACACACCGAAGGCAGGGTGGTGTTTGGAAATATCCAGAATTCCCTAGCAAGAAGCCCTGTGAACAGTTCCGTGGTCTCAGCTTCTGGAGCACCACTGTCTCTCCGTGTTGGATGTTTTTGAGGTGCCTCTGGGTGGAAAATCTGTGCATCTCCCCTGCCTGCAGAATAGCACCCGAAGAGCTGAGCGGTGACTCGGGTGCTGAATATCAGGCTGGTTCCTTGGTCTTTGGGAGGACGGTAGGTCCCTGCCGTTCCCTCTGCAGGATTTGCAGCCATCTGCAGCACGGCTGCTGTCAGCTCCGCTTCCTGTTTACACTGCAGTTCGTTTCAAGCGGACTCTGAAACAGCCATGCTGTCCGAGGACACAGCTGGCAGCTGGGTGGCTCAGCTCTCCGAGATCATCGTGGGGAGGAAAGGCAGGAGGCTCTTTCCTGGCCCGTGTCATTGTGGTTGCCCTGATCCCACATGCTTTTTTTTTTTTCTTTCTGTAGAGCCTTGTGTGGCTATGGGCAGTCTTCACTGGTCAATAGATTTCTGAGGGGTATGAGGTCAGTGACGTTCTTTTGGCTTTTGGACCTAGCAGCTTTAAGATGGAGGTGAACCCTTAACTGACGGAGCCAGGGAAAACTTCTCTGCGGGCAGGTTACTGAAATTCCCAGTGCATCGACTTTGAAAGCGCTTGGTTCTGTTCACAGCCAGGACTCGCTTGCTCTACAAGATAAGATGCTTTCTACTGTGTTCCTAATGCTGTTACATGGCCCGCTGTTTTTTGAAATGCCAGCAGGAGAATGGAATAAATTGGTTGCTCTTAGTGCTCAAGTGATTCCCACTCCCTCTCCCTGGAAAAGGACTTTCATGGTAATTACAGCACTGATACACAAGATATTCATGGTGGCCCGCTGGGGTCCTCGTTCATGTCTGTGGGCTTTTCACTGTCCTTAGCTGGCATGAGGTTGTGCTTGAAGAGCCCTAATTGCATCAGTAGCCTCGTGAGTGAGACATGAGTGTAAACCTTCTTCCTCTGCCTCACCTTCCCTGTGAGAACGTTTCCATAGCCAAAGAAGGTGTTTACGGAAAACTGGGGACTGACTGGCTGGCTGGTCTGAATAAAAGCCAAACTTCTTAACTAGACGAACAGCTTCATAACTGCTTGTAATTGCTCAAGTAAGGAAACTAATTTTCCTCTGGTGTTCATTATTCAGTATCCCTGGTCGACATCCCCTGTTCCTGGGTTGCCCGTGCCCACCACGGAGCACCCAGCTTGGCCTGGCAAGAAGGTGGTGCGAATGACACGAGCAGTTTTGCTCAGCATTCGACTCCAGAGTGCAAGCTGCTGTACCTCATTCCCTGGGGGGCTTGGACTATTTCTGCTGAAATAGGGATCATTTCGATGGCCAAACTGGAAAAATTCAGAGAGAATTTGACAATGTTTTGCCTGGTGATGTCATTGAAAATAAATCTAAACGTTTTACTCTGTTTAAAAAAAAAAAAAAAAAAGAGAGAAAAAGGAAAGAAAAAGGACAGCTATAGCAATACACACCAGCTGCATCTAGGAAAAGGCCAGTTGTTAGGGGGCAGAGAAACTTTACCAGTATTATTTAATCTTCAGATTACTACTGAGAGTTTAGGATCGCTTCTGAAGGATAGGACGTTCAAGTGTGAGGGCTGAGAGTTTGCAAGTGGAGAGGTTCAGCTGCCCGTGCTCTGGTGGTTTCAGTGGGACCTGGGTACCACAGCCAGGCTTGACAGCCCTGACCGTCCTCTGTGAGGCTGCTGCAGCGTCCTCCCTCTGCAGTCGCTCGACAGAGAGGTGGCATTTCCCACGAAGGCCGGTATGTAGTTACTAGGCTTGGTCCATTAAAGTAGTCTTTGGCTACAGCTGGAAAGAAAAACGCTCCGTTCTATGGAGATGTAGTTGCTGAGAAAAGTCCTTGGTCTTTGTTTCTTCTCTTCCTTCCGTTTTGCACTGGTTTTGCCAGGTGTAAAATACAATTGTCAGCAGTTTACAGGGAGGGGGAGCGTCAGTTTTCCTGTTGAAGAAAATATCAAGGGTCTGATTGTGAAAGGAAAGGGGAAACTGAAGAATGCCACATGGCTTCCACCTTCCTGTATTTCATCCTAGCAGAAGTGCCTCTGCTGAGTGACTCACTTTGTGTCTGTTGGTATTTGCTAAATGGAGAATGGTTTTAGCAAACGATTCTGCCCTTACTCGACAGGAGCCCACTGAGAGGATAATATTACTCTGGGAGGAATCAGAAAGACATGTCCGCTAGGGCTAAGCTAATAGTTAATCAAGAGTTATTTAGAAATGTGTTAGCAGAGAATCCAAATAGCAATGGAATAAAAATCCTGAAATTTATGTTCTTAGTGCAGTCTCACTTTAGCTTTATTTGGCCTGTGGTCATCTGACTGTTACCATTATCTCATATCATTTTTTTACTTGGCTCTGAATGTATTACTGTAGATTGTCCCAGGCTTGCAAGTTGCAGAGTTCTTTTTATATAAAGTATTTTGAACGTCTCAAATACAAAAAAAAAAAATAAATTCTTAAATCAGCACCATGGATAAATATTAACTCTAGACCCTGATTGGTGCCATCGCTGGACAAAAGTTTGTTGATGTTTATGCCCAACCTGCCCAGTGCCAGTTCTGTTCAGGAATATAAATTCTCTTCCAGCACCAACCTGGTGGCCGATGCCAAGGACATAGTCTTAACTGCTTCCTAACTTAGTTTTGAACGTCTGAGCTATAAACCAGAGGAATGTGCTGTATCTAACCTGGAGCTGTTAGCGGCCTCCAATGTCATAAATCCAGTAAGTGGAGAAGCCAGTGCAGGTGACTGGACAGCTGGAGCTGTTTTCTCTACACACGAGGGGGAAAGGGACCTCTGAATAACTCAAGGAAATGCTCAGTGTTGTTGGAACGGCCGCGGATCTGCTTCCCTAGTGCTTCCTTCAGCACATGTTACACTTGACCCTGCCAGCGCGAAACGCCAATAGGAGTCAAGTCATTGTCCCCAGTGGCAGATTAAACTGCTTGGCCATTGTTGAGAGTCCAAGATTTTCCTCTCTCACCCTGTTTAAATGGCTGCTTGGATGTGCAGCCAAAGTAAATATGAGCTAATAAAAAATATAGAGATAGCAGATACGGACTAGCTGTTACGGACTAAACAGGCACGCTGTAGCACAAAGACATCTGAGTTTTGCTTGCATCTTTTTTGCTTTAGTTTTGAAGTTCAATTACCTGAAAAAGAGGTGGTACAGATCAAGTCTAACTTCCTTTCTATTGCAATAGGGGAACCGTATTTATGTGTATCCTTTGAATACAAAAGCGATCTCTTAGGCTGCAGAGGATCCAGTACCTGCCTTGCAAGTTACAGTGCGCAAACCCCAGGCTAGCGCTTCCTTGCTCGAGCGCTGGAAGCGCGGTGGCAGCCCATGCAGCTTTGGAACGCTTTCCTGTATTTCCCCGCAGTCCATTTCCTTGTTGGCAATAAATGCCTTTTCAATTGACTTTTTACTTTTTCATTTACTCAGTGCACAGCCTGTGAAGGCCGTTGCTGTAAGATAACATTGAAATCAGTAGTCTGCGGGGGGTTGTAAGGAGGCGAGATATCTACATGGCTATCAGGAGTGCCTAAACTTGTGATAAAGGAGAGAATTAGACTGGGAGAGGATCAAAAATCTTTCCGTGTGTGAAGGCACTGCGGAGTGATAGAGGTTGGATTGTCCCTGTATTCCCGTGGCGCAGTGCTGTTGAATACTGTGTTACGCTATGTTATAAAAGGTGCCGAAGTGAATATCGGGAGAGGTACTACAATTGTTTGAATATTCAACTGGTTTAAGTGCTTGTATGTTGCTAGCATACGTAATCACCGCGTGTCTGAGGATGGCTGACTTGCTGAAGTCCTTTTGCGGTGGCTTTCTTCGCTTTCCTCTTCCTGCGGCCTGGGATGGCGTGCCCTTGGCTCTGGTGGGATTGCACTCTGTCTTCCGGCCTCTTCTGTAGTGGAATGGCCAGCGGTGATCAAAAGGTTATAGAGAAACTCAGGGCTGAGAGTGTGATATGACATTAAAGGACTAAAGGCTGCTGGGCAATAATTACCATAAACGCTGCAGACAAGTCCAGATCTAGGAGCAGTTTTTCCTCTTTCATCCCAAGCCAGTCATGGCTCATGCTGACAGCACACCTGGAAATGAGGTAACTGAATACTCTGCCCACATTGTTCAGATTAGCTGGGGCTTGGGCACAGCCGTAGCATGTGTTTTCTCTGCTCCTGGGCACCCTTTGTTCTCCTGCAGCCGGGAAGTCTTTCTGATGAGATGAGACAAGACAGGGTGCTTCTCTTCCTTTCTCGGGAAAGAAGCTCCTAAGCCACCTGTGGTGTGACGTTCCTGAGAAATACCCTTTCCAGATGCGGAGATCTTGCCGCTATTGAAGTACGAGGCGGAAATACTTCCAGTGCTGCCTGAACATGTTATTTAGGTCAGTTGCAAGGAAGATGGCAATGTGAATCAGAAAAGGAGTTGCAAGAGGAGGAAAGTTATTAGACGGCACCGTGACATCCCCTGCCAATGCAGGATTTTTCTCTGCCAGCACAGAAGCACAGTTAGAGATCACATTCGTTGTCTTCTGTGCTCTCGGTACGCTCCTGTAACTACGA